CCTTCCTCTGGGATTTTGGAACACTTGATCTGTTGTAAATGAACTGCCACGTGTCTTTAGAGTTCATGTGTAAACTCTTTCTGTCTTCTTTTACTAACTGTAACTGAACTTTCCTGCCAACGAATCGTCCTTCCTAACTCCATCCAGTTAGGAGGGGGCCTGCCATACTCTTAGTTCTCAATTCCTTTTACTCCTACTTTTCATTTGGACAACCTCTCCTCCTTAAAAGTCCATGCCATTCCACAGTTCAGAATTTTCTACTTCCAAAACTTTCTCCTGCCTTTCTTAATTACTACTCTGCCCATCTCCTCCAGCTAAACACGAACATCTCCCTTCTCACAGCCTAGCTTTGTCCTTTCTCATTCTCAAGTCCTCTGCCCCCACTTGACTTTCAGCCTTATTTTGGACCTCATTATGGCTCGAAACTGTTCCTCTTTAAAAATTTGGAGCCATAAAATCTCACTCTTGGATCGCAACTTGATGTTTTTCCACCCATCCCATTTGCTCATTTACACCTGGTTTGTTTTGACCGTTACTTTCACCAAGAGTTTTCCCTAGTTCCTTACTCAGGTTCTGACTTTACTTGCTGTCTGCCATCCTTGAACCCTCCTTTCCATTTCTTCAAAAGTTTTATAAAAGATACCCCCTAGAAATGGTTTGACCGTCGGCTGTCTTACTTTTCCAGCTTCTGTTGGACAGTTCTTGCTGCTGGCTCTTGTGTGCATCACTCCCTTGCGGTTCTGGCGATCACTTTTGTTGGAGAAGCACGATTAGACTGTAGTTAATGAGGGTGTTGCAGAGCTACGCCATTCCACCTTCTGAGCACACCATGTGTGATAGTCTGGAACTCCCTGTTCCCATTGTAGCTGTTCTGCTCTTGTTAAACTCCTAGCTATGCTCGGCTTATCCTGCCCTATGCCCCAGTGGGTAGTCTTGCCTCATTGATGGATTTTGTGTCATACAGCCTTCAGGTATTTGGGATGTGGTTATAAAAGACATAGTTCTTGCCATCAGATTCACAGTCTTCTGGAGAATTTTGACAAGTATAATATATTTTATGGATAGAGATATCCCAGGATGCTTTAGGATCCCAGAGGGCTGGAGGTTAGACGTAGGATTGGAAGAAAGTGTTAATGATGTAACTGAAGCTTGAACTGAATCTCGAGAGATGAGTATGAAATATATAAATGAACAGAAAAGGTACAGGGAGAGTGTTCAAGGCCAAATGAATAGCACGTGTACAATGACTGGAGAGAAATCACAGAGGTAGGCGTCTACAGAAATGCATCCAATGAATAATTAGAAGTTTGGATTCATCTGGAACAAGCTTCTCTTTTCCCTCTAGACCTCAAGAAATCTTTGTATTTAAATCCCGTCTTCACTAATTTTTTTTTTCTCTGTTCTGACCCGTCCTACTTACTCTTACTGGGTTAAATTCATTGAGATGCGCACCTGCTCCTGTAGCTCCTTGATGCAGTGCCTTCAGTGGCTCTGTTATTTTTCGGATGTTCTCAGTGCCCACTTAAACGTTGTAAGCCTGGCCTCTCACAGATCAAGTGACCATTTCTTTGATGTCCTCTCTCCTGGTCCATTTATGCTTCGTTTCTGGTGTTGTGTCCCCAGGCTGCTCCTTTTCTCATTAGCTTTGGGTGATCTCATTCAATAATTGTGTAGGTTAATTTTTTGGCTTTCAAGTTGGGTGATATACAACAAAGGATTCTTTTGAAAATCAATTTTTGTGATACATATAATGATGTAGCTTAAGCTCTGTTTAGTA